CTCTCTCTCTCTCTCTCTCTCTCTCTCTCTCTCTCTCTCTCTCTCTCTCTCTCTCTCTCTCTCTCTCTCTCTCTCTCTCTCTCTCCCCTCCTCCGTGTACAGCTCACACAGCCTGCCCAACCCAAACACACATGCATGTGCCATCCTTCCTTCCTGCTGGTCATTTCGTCATTCAAGTACAAAAAGAACCTAGGAGATGAGCGGTTTCCATAGCTCCCATACCCAACTACAGACAAGAGAGGTCAACTCCCGTAGCTCCCCCACGCAAACAAGGGAACACAACAACTTCACCCCGTCTGCTCCCGCATGCAACCACCCCCTCCTCTTCCGTATACATCTCACACAAGCCAGCCGTTTGCAAGCGCATGCCGCTGCTGTCCTTACCGCTGATCATTTCACCATTCGAAACATACAAAACCTTGAAATACTGCTCCCTCCTCCGTGTACATGTCACACAGCTAACCAATCGAAAGTGCATGCAGCCACGTTGCCAATCGAAAGTGCGTGCAGCCACGTTGCCAATCGAAAGTGCATGCAGCCACGTTGCCAATCGAAAATGCATGCAGCCACGTTGACAATCCCAAGTGCATGCACATGCTGCCCTCAATGGTGGTCATGTCGCCATTTCAAATATACAAAACCCTGAATGACCCGCCGCCATAGTTCCCACTCACACGTGAAGGCAAGAAAAGAGATCAGCTGCCATAGCTCCCCCATAGACGGCAACCCCCATATCTCCCACACTCGAACAAAGAGAGAAGAAGAGAGCAGCCGCGTCATAGCTCCCACCGGCGATTGAAAAAGAAAGAAGAGAGAACGGCTGCCATAGCTGACACACAGCCGATTGAAGGAAGAGGAGACGACAAAATGCCTATTCCTTGCGCGGCTCCAGCACGCCCGCACTCTCAAGCATAGGGATCAACTCCTCGCGCCTGTGCTTCCGCACGGTGTCGTCACAGCCGCCCACATGCTCACCCCCAATGAACACATTGGGCACAGTTCTCTGCCCCGTCCATTCGAGCAGCGCAAACTGCATGTCCTCCCCATCCTCCTCTTCATCCAGCTGCACAAATTTCCCTTTCGCCCCAATCTCATTAAATAGATCCCTCACACGAATACAATAAGAGCACCATGTCTTACTAAACACGACGAGACCATTACTCTCAACGAGCTCCTTCACCTTCTCCATCGCCGTCATCTTGCAGATGAAACCCCTTCGGAGCTTCGGAGCTCACACCTTCACCACAAACACTCTCTCTCTCTCTCTCTCTCTCTCTCTCTCTCTCTCTCGCACTCTCGAAGACTCGATGCCTTGATATCGACAGCTCGATGCTGGATTAACGAAGGCTGCCGATAGCTAAACAATCAGTCGGCCGCTGCAAGTGCGCTTCATCAACGACGTACGCCAAATACCACGCCGGCGTGTATACATTTATATATGTATATATTTGATACCCGTCGGTCGGAATCAGCACATCGCCAGTGTGCGGCAAATCAATCAAAATAATCGCTCGGCGTCAGGACGTGCTTCACCAGAAAGCGGCACTTTCCCTTTTCCAACGATGTGACGGGAGCGGCTGGAAGTTATGCGCCGGAAGCCCAGGGCTAGAAATGTTCCACTTACACGATATTGTCCGTAGATAGCAAAGATCAACGGCCAGAATCTCTTAATCCGTGCAAGTGGGACCTTGCCCCTCGCTAGAAATGTTCTTTTTTTTGAAGAAAAAGGGCGATGGCCTTGAGGTACTATCATCGGACTAAACAGCCCAGGTAAATTCAACATTGCGTCTACTCTCACATCGGGTGGCCTTTTCAGCAGCGTGGGAACCCCCCCCACCCGGTAGCAGAGCGATCAAGCATCATCTGAGTGACCAGTCGCTGTGCCGCCCCGATTACCCCTCTCCCTATGTACATCAGCAGAGACTGCCAATTGGGGAAATCAACGGGCTATCCCTAGGTGGCGGGTGCCAAGCATGCCCAGAGAGGTAAATGACGCTGATCGGAATTGAACCGAAGACGTCGTGAATACTACTTCCGTGCCTTGCCAACTGAGATAGGCTGCTGGATACCCAGAGACGGTCCACTGGCATGTTCTTGATTCAATCCCGCCGATTTTGGCGGCAATACGCAGATCCCTGGCCAGAAATGAAGAACACCATCTACTGGGTTCACCCGAATACAACGTACGGTCATTATAGCTGTATTCGGGGCAACTTTGAGTTCGCAGGCAGTAGGCTCCGTTTTGCAGTGACAACTTTTGTCGTCTAGCGGCCGTTTGCCGTTTCCGGCATGTCGATGATAAGTTAGAGGGGTTTACAGGGCGCCGTGCGGTGCAGGGGAAGGGTGCGGTCGGGGGCAGGAGACGGACCGGTCGTATGTGAGGTGGAGAAGTTGGAGGGTCGTCGGTACGTGAGTGCGGTCAGTTTCGGTGGTGGTGGTCGCGGTTCACTTTCCTTTTCGGGAGAAGGTCTTTCGGACACCGGGCACGCTGGAAAATTTTTTTTTGGGCTCGCCCTTGTCCGTTTTGGCGTGTGGGTCGAAGGGTCCTTTTTTACGGTTATCCGAGTTCATGTATCTGGGCTTCGTCTACATCCACATTTAGACGTTCGTTCCAACGACAATTGACTTACCGTGAGGGCACGGGTGCGCAACCCGTAATTCGTTTGTTTATGTGGTTTGGGAAAGGTAAGGTAGTGAATATGCTGTATGTATGTTTTGTCATGTTCGCTATACACAACTCGAAGAGAGAGTATGTATGTTTTGTCATGTTCGCTATACACAACTCGAAGAGAGAGTGTGTGTGGGGTCCCTGTTGATGCTTTATTCACAATGTTCATGGGACGCTGGACCCAATTTCCAGCAGGTGGCGCTCCCCATCAATAGACAGGAGAATGTATGTGTGTGTGTGTGTGTGTGTGTGTGTGTGTGTGTGTGTGTGAGAGAGAGAGAGAGAGAGAGAG